AAATATTGAATACTAGTTGTTGCTATACTGGCAAAGAATTGTTAAAGTGGCAAAGGTTTCTACAATTTAAAGGCCCTACTTTGGGAAAATAAAATTTCAGCACGTGCATTGGCTAAAAAACAGGCCTTTGAAACAGCATAGAAGAATGCTAACCAGGCTGTCTATGAAAGGCAGGGAGAGCTGTAGCAACAGCTGGTCCAAGGGTTGTCCTGAGCTACCATAGTATCAGTAATTTTAAGTTTTCTGGGGGTTTTCCCCCATAAAACCAAAACTGATCTGATAATTTTTAAGTCTTGAGTATCTTAATGGAGAGTTTGTAAGACAAGCATTACTAAAATTCTAATATGCATTTCCAGATATTTTTACTTGACATTACAATTCATTAAAACACATACTGTAATTTAGAATTATTCTAAAGTTTTGGAGAAAATGCATAGAATTTCAAGGGCTCTGAGTTGGCTATTAATATACGTTTGTTAATATTCAAGCCACAATAGAACAATAAAGATATCTCTTAAATATAGTCAATCCTAGGTGTTCCATTAGATTTTGGTTGTCTTCCTTTTATATAACTTAAATATTCAAACAAGCTGCAAAGTCGAACAATAGTTGAATATTTAGAGACAAAGCTACACATACTAACTAATGAAGTGTATTAATACTCTACACCATAGGTATGGACAAGAAAGCATTTATTTTGCACCTTAATAAAATATGACTTTTTTTTTGAAGGCAAGTACTCATATTCATTTAAGAAATGTTGGACATGGCACTAAAAACAACAAAGCTTTAAATGAATTTTCATCCCTCCCTTTTCCCCCAGCCACAAGAAGTTGCACACAAAATAAGAGACTAGATTTGTAAAAAGCATTTTAGGTGGCTTAAAGCCCAGAGCTTAGATATCTTAAGTGAAGAGGATGCAATTAAGGTAAAAAGTCCTTAATTCCTCCAAATCCTCAAGTCCTTGACATGGGACAGGACTTTACCATGTCTCAACAGCTCCGTGGTACCTCTGTATCCAGAATCCTGTGGAAGTTATCCTGCTTTATTTGGGGTAAGCTTTGCTCTTAGAAGTCACAGAGGTTGCAATTGGAAGAAAAGTTTGGAACAGCTAAGTGCTTAGGAGTGAAGATTTATTAAACAGGAATGAATATCAAGCACAATATTAACAAAAGCTTTATACATGAAAGTTCTGCAAAATTATTCTTAGCAGTGATTGAAGTTGGGGACTAAAAAGATTAAAAGCTATGTAGTGGTGATGTGGATGAAATAAGTGCAAGGATGAGATCAAAGTTATTTGTCATCTAAGCTTCAATATTTACTCATGGCTCTAGGGTTGCACACAATATACCTCCCCCTCTGCTACAATTAAAAATATAACACAAAATAGGCTGTCAGAACATAGAGGAGAATATTTCCAATATTATTTTAATTGTTGATCTATTATTCAGGTTAGGAGAGGACCCACATTAAAACAGAACCCTAACCTTTAGGAGAAGGCAGGTTGAGATTTAGCTCCTGTCCTATGGCTTAGACCTAGCTCCAGTTTAGAGACATGCTAAATAGAAAAACTGACCTCCATGCAGCCTTAACTATGAAATCAAATTTCAATTAAGAACTCATGTGGATCTACTTCAATTAGACTATCGAAAGAAAGGGTTCCCAAGTGTGGCCTGTGACCCAGTAGTTTTCCCCTCCTCTCCCCCCCCACCCCTTGAAATGTTATCAGGGGTTTCCCCAAAGTGTAGCCCATAGGTCCACTTTTTGTGACCTGCCACCCATACCTACCCCTTTGAAATAGCCCTTTGGGGCAAAAACTTTGGGAAACCCTGATCTAAGGCTGTCTGCAAGTCAAAGTACTGCAAATCTTTACTATGTGGGTCTCCATTATAACTGCTGCTATCCACAAACGATCAACAATATTACTCCCCTTCTCTTTAAAATACAATTTTGCTCTAGTCCTCAAAATCCTTGTCTTCAAAATTGACTGGGTTATCTTTCTTCATAAGTGTGTGGACATTTCAAGATCCAGGCACTGTAGCTCCTCTCTAAGATACCTGTATATTGCTGCTATGTGCAAATTGTTATAATACATATCTTAAAATGCTTGGCTCTCAACATGGTACACTGTACAAGGACCTTTAATAAGAAAAATTTAGATAGTTCTGTAACATTCAAGATGTAATTAAGCATGAGGTAAAAAGGTTTATTCAAACACAATGTCTAACTAAAAATCTCATACTAAAATCCCCAGCTTTCTGAAATAAGTTTCGTCACACTGAGTTTAGCAACTTTAATTTTTTTTTCCATTAAATGTGCAAATTCTGCCATACTATAGTAGTAAACCTCAAATATTCAGTTCATTCACAACAGCAGCTTGAACATAACCACATTGTTTCCAGTTGTGGTGGGTCTTTTGGCTAATATTTTGTCAAATGACTTGGAAATAAAAAAGCCTAACTCATGGATATTCACATGTGAATTATGCTTTCACAGCATTGTAAAAAAAGTTACATTCATCAATGTGGTAGCACAGTGAGTACTGTTGACAGGAGACCCCAGCTGAAGATCATCTGCCAAAGTGCAAGGGGAAGGTCAGGCGCATGGTTTTTTAAGTTCCATGACAGACTGTTACAGCCACAAGGCTCCTGGTTTCTGCCAGAGAATTCATAAAGTGGCATGCCTCTTCGAGAAGTACTGTGGTAGGAGCAAGAGAACTTAGTAAAGTTCAAGTTTTAAAGAAAAATTAAAAAATGCTGAATGTGCATTTGATAAAAAGTACCAAACCTTTTATAATGGCACCAGTGTTTCCTTCTGTGGGAGAAGAAACTAAGAATCATTTGTATGGGATATTTTCTTCCACAGTAAAGTTTTTAAGTTGTTTAGTATTAAAGAATGCTCCATCTCCATCTGGTTTGCTGTGACTTTAAGGGCAATGCATGAATACAGTTGTTTCTCCAATTCTTCATGGATATCTGAAGGAGCACCACGAAGCAAGTAGTCTTTTAGTAGCTGGCATACTTTTGCCAGATTAGGCTGAATTACTTTTGTGGTACATTTCATTTTACTTTGGTCACATAGAGTTCTACAGTCCGTACCATAAACACAGTCCAAGTCAGACTCACAGTGACGATCTTTAATCAACTCCTTCAAATTAATTTCTGGCACAATTTTTCTCATGTCCACCATTTTCAAGTCATATTTATCATTATAACCCAAGTTTTTGGCACTTGTATCACACATAAGAAAATTCCCATAAGGACCATGGAAAATATCTTCCACAAATTCTAAAAGCCCTATTGCTATTTTAGCTTTTCTAGGCCATGATGGAGTAAACCACTGGTCCATGCTTCTTCTGAAACCAGAGGGAATGAAAAGTTCTATGATCCAGGGAAGGCTTATTCCATAGAGGGAGGTATATTCAACTCTTTCCATCACATAGAGATCCCCGCAAAACCCCATCAGTTTGGGGGTGTGTTCTTTATCCTGCAGGATCACCATTAGTAGAAACTCGTTTAGCTGTAAAAGTGCCCATGCTGACTTTGCTTCTGGCAGTGAAACTCTACCATCTTTATTTCCATCAGCAACTGACAGGATGAGATTAACCAGTTCAGAAAGATTTCCTTGTTCTCCCAATTTAGCCTAGAAATAACAAAAATATATATATTTCAGATGCATTTTCCTATTAAAAGCTATTAAATATACAACAGATAAATCAATTCAGATATTCAATTAAATATTGTCTTAAGCTTAGGGACTAAACAGCACTGTCTATGGTTATGCTCTGGTTTTCAGTTTCAGTAAAGTTGGAGGGGGAGGGGTTGAATGCTGAAGACAAACCATAGTATCTTGAAATCTAAACACGCTGAAAAGAAAGGAACATTAGCCTTTCCACTACATTACTTACTGTTCATCTAGAATAAGTGTAAATTGCAACATATCCTGTAATAAAGGTATTTGATATTTTATGATCATCTCCCCACCCCTGCCGCCCTCCGGAACAAGCAACAATCTAGAGTTCTCAAATTGTTAAAAAGTTTCATTGCTAGATCTGTTTTACCAGGATTCATGGGACTGAACTTTCTGATGAACCTTGCAACTGTTTAAAGGGATAACAAATGTTTTGATACAATCCTTTACAATAGTTTCTTTATCCTGGAGGATCCTTTGCAACAGTTTCTAGCCAGGCATAAACAGAGATACTGAAACTTATTTGGTACTAAACCTATATATACTAGGAAGTGCATTTAGTTCTCTCATTCTGCATAAAAAACTTTCATTTAACTGATTTCATAAACCCTAACTGTTTGAACAGAGCTGCCTTGTCTTTATTAGGATCAGAACTGTACTATGTATAACTTTGATTAGTGCAGTTAAGTAATTAAAGGGTTTATCCATGCTCAACATTTTCTGAAGTTTTTCTACCGCAGATTCTACTGCTCCACTGGTATTAATTACAGAAAATTACAACACTTGTCTA